GGGGCCAGAGGGGGAGGTCGAGGGAGGGCGGCGGCATACGAGGAAGAGGAGGTAGAGGCAGAGGAGAGAAGACTTGCATGGAGGAGAAAGGGAGAGGAGGAAAACAGGAAGCATATTCACATGTGCACTGTTATGAAGTTGCAGTGTACATCATTCAAGCTTGTGTGTGCGAGGTCGCGCTGCCCGCGTCGACTGGCGCGGGCGTCAACTTCCCCTGTTCACGGAGACAGCGATATGGCTGAGTAGGTGGACTGAGGTAGGGATGCGCGCGGGCTGGAATCGCATGCCAGCTGGCCCAGCCCGCGCCTGGTCTGTCTGTGAGCTGCGCCCCAGGTGACATGACCGATTGTAGCATCCGGTGCCGGCAGGCACTCTGAGAAGTGGTTGGAGACGAGCTTGGCCAGACGCAGGCGTGCTTGGCGCGCCGCCCCGCGCGTGCTAAGGCGCACAGCTGGGCGCGACAGCGCCCTGGCGCGCGTGGCACAGCGCGTGGTTGGGCACAGGCGCGGCGTGCCTCTGCCGCTGGTCGCGCTCTGGCGCACAGCAAAACGTGCCGATGCCCTGCGCCGCGCTGCAGAGGGCGTGCGTGCGCGCGGGCATAGTGCGACGCGCGCGCTGGCGCGGACAGGCGCGAACAATGCCCCAGCGTGCCTGGCGCGACGCGTGTGAATGCCAGGGCATAACACACCGTGCTTGCGCAGCGGCATCATCGGGCATGGGCGGCGCCCCGGGCGAGCTGAGCAACGCGCGCGTGCGCGGGGGCGGCGCGCGCCGCGAGGCCCGCGCCGCCGCGTGCTTGCAGCGCGCCGGCCTGCTCCCCACCAGAAGGCCCTCAGTGGTAGGGCAGTTGCCACTGACGGGGCAAACGTGCGCACTTCTCTGTCCGAAGCTGCCGTGGCAGAGGGTGCGCACATTGCCGCGTGGTCGCGTGCCTAGACCAAATGGCGCAGCGCAGGCCGTAGACGTAACCTTGCGGCCGAAGGCGCAAAGAACGTGTCAGCGTGCCTGATGCCACGCGCTCTGTGCCTCGTGCGTCCGAGCGCCAAGGCGCGCCGCGTGCGCCAGAGCGCGGGGCAACGGGTCTTGTTGGCATACTAGCCCTGTGAATGGTGCAGCTCTGCCCCGATTGCCTGTCGCTCGAAGTCAACGCGGCAAATTCGTTGGCGCGGTGAGCGGGCGGCGTGACGGACGTAACGCTGACGAGTGGTCGTGGCCAGGGCCGCGCGCGGTGTAGCGCGTAGGCGCGGCCGCTTCGCTGTTCATTCGGGGGGGGGGGGGGGGGGGGCGCTTCCAGACTACGTGGCGCGACAACAATAGGTGCCCGCGGCGTGCCTGGATGCCTCACCCTGGAAGTCGCTGTAGATGTGGGCGAGATCTCCGTCGTAGAAGAGCCGCGAGAGAACGAAGTGCGGCAGGTCGGAGTTGTCGAACTGGCTGGCTGGGCGGATGGGACGAAACGCCGACGTGAACAGCGGTCGTGGCGTAGCCGACATGCCGGCTTCATCTGGGCGCGATGTCTGCTACGCTCGCCAGATGCGTGTCTGGTCGGCTGCGGTCCAGTCGGGGCAATAACGTGCATCTGCGACATCAGGCAGGTGCCCCGGGGCGTCAATGTGGACATCCTCCTCGATGAGATTCCACCGCGATAGAAGCTGCGGGATCGCCGTCCTGCTCGGGCTCGCGCAGGGGCGAACGCCCTGTCGAAGCAGGTGGCAGCCGCAGTGGTGCTGCCGCCCTTGACCCGTGCAAAGGGCGGTGCTATACATGCATTGCCGCTCAGAGCCCCCCCGCTGGGGCGGTGCGACCTGCTCGCAAGAGTGATCGACCCGCGAACCAAGGTAATGAAACAGAAATGTAAAACGCGGCAGCGTCTTCGAAAACACCTGATCGGGCGACGGGCAATTGCAATGCTGACAGTGTCGGTCTTGCTGCGTCGCGCCGAGGGCCGCGCCGTGCTGCGCCGTGCTGAATTGCGATGTGCCTTGCCACGATTTTGCTCTATCGCGTTGAAGATCGAACCCTCCATTTTGCATCCGAGTCCTGACCGAACCGATCTAGATCTTAAGCTCGAGCTGAACACATAGTAGCTGCCCCAGAGCTAATTGACGCGTGGGCGCGCCAGGGGGCGCCGTGGAACGCCCCGAGTGATGCACCAGGGGTCGCGCCGAGGGGCGCGCCGCGGGGCGCGCCGCGCGACGTGCCAAACGGACGCGCTGCGGAACGCGCCGCTGGGCGCGCAACGGGGCGCGCCAAGGGGCGCGCCGCGCGACCTGCCAAAGGGGGCTCGCCATGGGGCGCGCAACGGGAACTGTCAGGTTGCAATGCTGAGTGTATCGGTCTCGATGTGCAGTGCCGCGGGCTGCGCCGTGCCGCGCGGAGCTGGATTGCGATGCGCCGTGCCACGATTGTGCTCTTTAGCGGCGTGGGTCGAGCGCCCCGCTTTGCATCCAAGTTCTGACCGAACTGATCTTGATCTTGAGCTCGGGCTGCCTGAGCGCGTAGTAGCTGCCCCGGAACTTGCTGAGTGACGCGGGGGCGTGCCAGGGGGGCGCGCCGCGGAATGCCCCAGGGGGTGCGCCGAGCGACCTGCCGAGGAACGTGCCATGGGGGTGCGCCGAGGGAAGTGCAAATTGCACGCGCTACGGAACGTGCCAATGGACGTGCAGCGGGGCGTGCCAAGGGACGCGCCGCGCGACGTGCAAGGGGGGCTCGCCGCGGGACGCGCAAGGTTGCAATGCCGAATGTATCGGTCTTGATGTGCCGAATCCTGACCGAACCGATCTTGATCTTAAGTTCGAGCTGCCCGAGCGCGCAGTACGCTGCCCCAGAGCTAATTGACAGCGGGAAGTGCCAAGATGACGCGCCGCGGAACGTCCAAGGGGACGCGCCGAGCGACGTGCCGGGGAACGTGCCATGGGGGCAAGCCGCGGGACGCGCAAAAGGGACGCGCTACGGAACGTGTTGGGGACAAGCGTTTCGCTAGGGACATCCTCACCGCATCCTCATGCTTGACGTCCGCTTGGGCGGCCAAGACATGTGAAACCAAACGTCTCGCTCTCTGCGTCCCCAGCGCATCCTCATGCGAGACTTCTGCCTGGGCAAACAAGACGCGTGAGAACAAGTGGTTCGCTCCGCCCCAGACGTTCTCAACGCGTCCTCATGCTGGACATCCGCCTGGGCGACGTGGACACGTGAGAGCGAACGCCTCGCTCGAGGCATCTTCAACGCATCTTCATGTTACACGTCCGCCTAGGCGACCAGGACACGTAGAAACGTGCGTTTCGCCCCCGACATTCTCAGCGCATCCTCGTGCTAGACGTCATCCACCTGGGTAGCCTGGACACGTGCAGACAAACGCCTCGATCGAGACTTCCTCATCGAGTCCTCATGCTAGACGCCGGGCCTGCGCAAATTGGACCCGTGAAAACAAGTGGTTCGCTCCGCCCCAGATGTTCTCAACACCTCCTCATGCTAGACATCCTCCTGGGCGACCTGGACACGTGCAAGCAAACGTCTCGCTCGAGACATCTTCAACGCATCTTGATGTTGCACATCCGCCTGGGCGTCCGGGACACGTGACAATAAGCGTTTCGCCCCAGACATTCTCAACGCACCCACGTGCTATACATCATCCAGGGTAACCTGGACACGTGCAAACAAGCGTTTCGATCGAGACTTCCTCAACGCATCCTCATGCTAGACATCTGCCTGGACGACCTGGTCGCGTGAAAACAAACGCTGCGCTCCCAGGATCGGACAGTCTATAACGCAAAACAAGCGTTTCGCTCGAGGCATCCTCAGAACATGTATACAAAACAAGCGCTGCGCTGGGGACATGATCGCAATTCAATTCCGCCGGTCCTCTTCGACCTCATTTGTTATCGCGGACCAATTCCGCCGGCCTTCTTCAAATCGCGACCTGTGGGGGAACCTACTCAAAGAGAGCCCTGGGCTCAAACCCTCCCGGGAAAAAGACAGCCAACGCACTCGCGCGCATCACGAGTCATGGCGCTGGCCCAGGGGTGAGCTTCGCCGCCGCGTCCGACGCGAAACTACGGCCAGTGCCTGTGGGGTGCGATGGGTCGCGTGAGACGTCGTGGCGTTCCCGTGGTCGAGTGCTCCGCGTAGCGTAATAATTCGTCTGCAGCTGCCAAGGTCCTCGCAGCCAGACTTGGCGCTTGCCTCGTCAGTGAATGTCAGGGGAAAATTGCCCGAAGGCTTGCAAGACAGTCGTCAGCACAAGCTGTTCAGGGAATGGAGGGTGCATGCGTTGAAAAGACAAAGGAGTGCGCCTACATCGCACTATGCGCAATCCCGTGCATCGCGAGCTGGGATCGCTCCCAGCTCCGCTTCCAACAGAAGCTGCGGATGGCAGTGGTGAAGAGAGAAATCATGACGGCAAAAACAATAGTAGAGCAACGATGCTTTTACATTTACCCGTATACTAACGTGCGCGCGCTGTGAGCCGGAATGGCGGCGGGTGCGCGCCCGAACTCATATTCGAGTGAGGCGGAAAAGGAGGAGGACGAGGAGGAGGAAGAGGAGGAGGAGGAAGAGGAAAACATTGAGGAGAAGGAGGGTTCCGTTCCGCCCCCGCTTAGGCACTCGCCCATGGAATTGTGACTGCTGCCATGCACTGGGGAGCGATACTGTATCACAATCCCCCTCTTTCGTGAAACTTCGTCGAGGAAGGACCTGCCGTGTCAGCTCTGGGACACGGTCGGAGGTTTTTTCCTCGACAGGAGGAAGACACCGAGAAGGAGGAGGAGGAGGAGGAGGACGGGGAGGAGGAGGAGGAGGGGGAGGAACAGGAGGAGGAAGAGGCGGAGGCGGAGGAGAAGGAGGCGGGATTTCCCTCTAGGGGGGATTTCCCTGACCAGCCCTCGGGGAGCCCCTCTTCCTCAGTCTGCCTAGGGCTCCCTGTCTCCCAAGCCGCCCGCGAGGGCCAACGCCGCCAACGGCGCCGCCGGCGGTGTCCCCGAAGACGCGCCACTGCATCCTCACCTTGAGGCGCGGGCCGAAGCCCGGCATTCGCAGGGTCCTGGCGGGAGGCTGCGACGGCACGACACGACGACGCGACACGACGACACGACGACGACGACGGGAAGAAAAGCAATCCGAAGCCATGGGGGGGGGAGCAGGCGAGGCCGGGGAGGCCAGGGGGACTGGAGGCCTGGGCTGGACGAGGCAGTGCGGACGGTGCGGTTTGTCTGGTTGCCGCGGGCGCAGTGGCGCCGAGAGCGACCCCCACGAGAGGGCGAGACGTCTGCCCGCGGTGGGCTGCAGGCCGCCCCACGGCCGGCTCAGCTCAAGGAAGCAGGAAAGAAGGTGAGGAGGAAGATGAGGAAGAGGAGGGAGGCAGGAGCAGTAAAGGAGAGGGATGGGGGAGGAGGGCGGTGGAGGATGGAGGATGGAGGGAGGAACGGCTGTAGGAGGGAGGACGTGGGGGGCCTAGCCGAAGGAGGAGACACGAGGAGCGCTGTGAGATCTTTGTGAGAGGGGTTGGGGGGCTGGACCTCCTCTCAAAAGAGAGCAACCCACCCCCACATCCACCAAGATGATTGTTCCATTTCTTCCGGAATGAATGTGGACGTAGTCGACACGCCACGCAGCGACGATTGCGAATCGCGACGTTTCCGATGCCATATATATACATATATATATACAGTCCTTCTACGTTTTTCTAAGGCATCGCTAGTTTTTGTTTCAACGTTTTTGTGTTTATGCAATTGCACCGTTGCACGTGCGCGATGGCGCGGTCTGAGCAATGTACCAGGCACTTTCGTGCGCGGCAATCTTTTTCTTATACAAATTGTGGGTGTTTATTCATCACGTTTTCTGTGTTGTAATACTGTTTTTTCTGGGCCCTCGGCGGCTGCACTTTTCGCAAGTTGCCAAGGGCCTCTCTTCGGGCTCATGCAGCTGACGACGGTCGTCGTGATGCGGTGGGTGGGGGTGACTTGGGTCACCTTCATCTTCCTGCCGCGAACTGGGAAGGGATCCAGGCCTCCAGGGGCCCACGTTGTCAGAAAATTACGGCGGGGGGGTGTGGGGGCAACGAGAAACCTGCTTCTCCTGTCCTCCTACTTCTCGTCCTCCCCCTCTCTCCTCCTCCTTCTCCGCAGGGGAGGGGGAGAGGAGGGGGATGGTGGGAAGGGCATGAGGGATGGGTGCGAGGAGGGAGGATCGAGGGATGATGACAAATGGAGGAGGTGGGGCGATGAGGCGAGAAGGAGGAGGGGGTTCGAGTATTCTCGAATGTTTCGGCTGGCTCTTCAGGGGAAGATGTCGAATTCTTCGGAGACGCTGCTGTCTCCTGTAGGTTTCAACTGCTTGTTGCCAATCTTCCATGGGTTTCGGGCTTCTCTGTGCTTGCACTTACAAGTTCCTACGTGGCCTATGACTAGCCATACCTGTGATCCGCAATCAACCGTCCCCGGTCCGGTGCTCTACAGTCGGGGCGTTGACCTAAGGAACCCTGAATAAGGAACGAGGCCCCTTTCTCCCATAAGCTGAACTTCGATTTCCCATGGAAAACCTCAGGAAAACAGAAGGCAAACTGTAGAACAATCAAGGAACACCGAGCCCCTCCCCAAAGATAAAGGTTCCTTCTGCAGGGCCCCGGCTGTACGGCCGTCCCCGCTTATGGCCCCTTGCGTTGGTGCCGTTTGCGTCGATGCCCCACGGTTGGTGTCCTCGTTTGGGTGCCCTGTGGTGGGTGCCCCGTGGTTGGCACTGTTTTGTCCCCGTGGTCGGTTGGAGCTCGCACGTCGGGAGTGCGGGAGCCTGCCGTGTGGGGTCCGCGCGCTCGCGCGCCACAGGTTGCGCCGAGATGCCGCCGACTTGGCGGTGCTGCCCGAGGTTGCGCCCATGCTGGGACAAGTTACGCCCCTGCGTGGCGCCGCAGGTTGCGTCCCAGTGCCGCTGAGTCCTCGGTGCGGACAGAAGTTACGCTCATGGGTTGAGCCATAGGTTGAGCACAGCTGAGTCTCCGAGAAGTCGGCGCAGCCACAGAGAGCGCCCATGGGTTGCTCCAGGGTGCTGCAGATTTTTCTCGTTGCGGCCACAGGTCCTGCCCATGGCTTGCGGCCAAAGCCTGCGCCCAGGTGCATCCAAGCCTTCTTGGTGCGACCACATGTTGCTCCCATGGGGACTGGGAGGAGGTGGAGGAGGAGGAGGAGGAGGAGGAGGAGGAGGAGGAGGAGGAGGGATGGCTCTGAAGAGCTCTTGGGGGGCTCTGCACCAGTCCCAGGGGGGGGGGCGGGAACGGAGGACGCCATCCTCCCGCTCGTCTCTTCGGCCTCCTCATCCCTGCCCTCCCCTGCCCTCCCCCCGCCTCCTCCGCCCTCGTTCCCCTCGTGACCCCTCTATCTCTTCCGTTCCCTGCTGCGCCTCACGTCCCTCCTTCTCGGGAGGAGGATGGAAGTGTGATGGAGGGCGGGGAAGGAGGGACGGGGATGGAAGAAGGAGAAGGATGGGGTATGGCTAGCGGAGAGAGCTCGCACTGAGAGTCGGTGGTGGGCGACATCCGCCAGGCACCGAGTCATCGGACAAGCATGTGCGGACATCATTGAGCCCACCCTCATTTGTTGCTACACATGCGGCTCATCTGGGACGCAAGTCACGTCAAGAGTCTGTCTACGTGCATGGAATGCAATGGCCTGCCCAAAACTGCAAACGCATCGCAATTCAATTTCGCGAAGACGTCGTATTGCAGATGCATTGCAGACGGATGCATGTACCGCAAATGAGTTGCGTCGGATGGCGAGTTTGAGGAGGGAAGGGGAGAGAAGAAACGGCGAGATGAAGAGACAGGAGACAAGGGATGCGGAGGGAGGATGGAGGAGCCCGAGGAGTCCTCGTGTCCGTCCCGTGCTCGCACCCCATGAGGTCGGCAACCGCAAACTCGGGCATATGCCACGTAAAGGGCTTCCCTCCGGGCACCTGGCACTTCAGCTCGAGGGACACCACCGCCTCTCGGCGGCGCGCTCAGGGGGTAATTAAGGCTTCTTAGATGGGGGCTGCTTCTCAGAAGGCGCCGACATTAGACTTATAGATAAGGCCCGCGCCTTCTAAGCAGCAGCCTCCTTCTAAGAAGCCTCTCCCCCTCCCTCTACCCCCGGCGGCGCGGGGCCGAGCCTCCCCGCACTCGCCCACCAGGAAGCGGAACCCCTGGTTCCAAGTGGCCTCGGTCAGCGTTCGCACGTCCGAGTCCGCCGGCCCCCCTCGGCCCCGGGATACCCCCGAGAGCCCCAAAGACGGCCCCAGAGGACCCAAGGGGCCCGAGTTGAAGGGGCCCAGAGACGCACAAACAATCAGACACAAATCCCAGGATTCCCTACATTCCCCCTCTTGTTCTGGATGTTCGTCTTCCCATCCACTTCCCATACTTTCCATATCTTCCTGGGAATCGACGAGTCTTTGTGTCTGCGGGACTCTTGTCCCTCCTGGCCAGTACTGCTTAATGCAGCTTCAAGGGTGGCTTGCCCCCTTTCGAGAGGCTCCCTACCTGCCCAGCCAGAGCTCCAGAGGAAGCTCCAGCGTGGCTCCAAGATGATCTGATGGGCCTGTTTTCCACCACCACCACCATAAGTTGGAGGGGGAGGGGGTCCTCCTCCTCCTCCTCCCCCCCCTCCTCCTCCTCCTCCTCCTCCTCCTCCTCCTCCTCCTCCTCCTTGTCCTCCACCTCCTTCCCCCCTCCAACTTATGGTGGTGGTGGTGGTGGTGGTGGAAAACCGGCCCACCATGATCGCATGGGGGGGCAGCCGCGGAGGGCAAAGCCTCCCAGATACAGCAGGTTCAGGCCGTCCTGCAGCTTTGCGCTCAGCGTCTCCACGCGCCCCTGGTCCATCTCGAGCAGCGTGGCGGCGTCCTGCGGCTTTACGCCGTACTTGGCGAGCAGCGTGAGCTTCGTTTCCAGCTCCTTGGCCGCCGCCCTGGACGCCTTGGTGTCCTCATCTCCGCCGCAGTCGGGCGGGACCTTGGCGGGCTCACGCCTGGTCGGCGGTTGAAAGATGGTGGCTCTGAAGGGTGGGGCCCTAAGGTCAGGAAGGGGACCCCGAGCTCAACCTTCACTGTGTGAAGCCACTCCTCCTCAAGGCCCCACCCCTCGGTGCCCCGTCTCTGAACGGGCGACCTGGGCCGTGCCGTGCAACGCGCAACTGCGTGAAACTGCCCGCAAGGCGGCTGCTCACAAATCGAGCGGATCCCCTCGCTGTGGAGGGCCTCTTCTGCGCTCCTCTGCGCAATCTGCGAGCAAGCGTCTCGCGGACAGTGGCACGAGGTCGCCGGATTTCAAAGCAAGACGGGTCGGGACGACATGCCACGTGAGCAACGAAAAGAAGCGGGTCTCCCGCAAGGGGTTATGGCGACATTACGCGGTGGCTTACGCGGGCCGCCAGCCTGGCACACGGTGTGGAGAGCAGGGCGTCTGCGCGCGACCCTACGCGGGCAGCCGACGCGCCAATGTCGGCGAAGTCGGCTGCGCTTTCCTACATCGCTCACGTGGGGCTCTTGGCAACTGCGACCCACCATGGCGATCGATCGCCACCCGCCCCGCGGGCGGTGGGCGCGGCGCATCCTTTTAGGCGGGGGGGGGGGTCGCGTGCACGGCGCCGTCCCGTCTCTGTCGGTCCCCTCCTTCCATGCCTCGCCCCCGTGTTTCCATGTTTCTGTTCCTTGCTCCCTCTTTCTCTCTCTTCCCCCCGCCTCCCTTCTCCCTCCTCTCAAACAGGATGGGAATGGCGCCATGATAGAATTCGCTCAAGATGCGCTTCAGGACTTCCAGAGTATCTAGCGGCCCGCGTTTCTGCAACCCCTGTGGAACACCAGGGAATCTGGGAACGCTTCATCTGAACACTGCGCACCGCGGGGGAGTGTCTTGAGGGCCTCCTGGGTGCCATCCACAGGACTTCTTGGGGCCCACTTCGCGCCGCGTTGTGCTCTCGGCGCGTCCGGAGGCGCTCTAAAGGCACTCTTTGGGCCTTATCGGGCCGTCTTGAGCGCACTGGGGGGCCCGCCCGGCCCGTCTTGAGGCTCTCTTGGAGCCTTCCTGGGCCATCTGGGGGCTCTCATGGGCCCCTTGGGAGGCACTCTAGAGAACTCTTTGTCTCGCAAGCAGGCCTCTCGGATAAGTCTTCGCCCAAGGTGAGGGAAGGAACCCCACATGTGTCCAAAATGATTGTTTTGACACGCGTGTCGGTTTCTTGGATTTCGAGCACCCCCTTGTGCCGTCTTTGCGCTCTCTAGAGCCTTCTTAAACTGCCTCAGGGCCTACCCTGGGGGTGTCTGGGTCCGTCCTGGGCCTCGTGGAACGCTTTTGAGCCTCTGTCTGGCCGTCTGAAATGTCACTGTGATCCCCGCGACCTGGACAGGCCGGTCGGGATTCTCTGGGACGCATCAAGGCATACTAGTAATAGATTTTCTCCTGGGAGGCGCGCGTTCGACCTGAACATGTAGTACACCAGTCTTGTAGTACATCGTTTCCCGCGCGGGGTGGCCAGAAAGCGCTCGCCATGACGTACATACCATAAGATTTCTCGATGCGCGCGTCGCCCCTGGGGGGGCGACGCACACACATATTATTAGTATGTTAGGGCGACGCCGATACTTTGCAGGATAAATATCTGTATTGCTACAACTATACATTTAGCCACGCCGTGCCCTCTACTCGGGGGACGCTGCGGGACATGCTACGTGTAATGCGCCCATACCCTTGGAGGGGGGTACACATCACGCCCGTAAACAAGAACAACTCATGACATGCTGTGATGCCTTTCGAATAAGAGCAAAAAGCGGCCCATGCGCCGCACTTGTCGCATGACATGCTCACCCCCGAGACAACAAGCCCGCTGTGCTTGAGTCGAACCCTGACCGTCGGCATGATATGCTTGGTGGTCTGCATCTCGTGCTCGCATCCATCCAAATCCACGCCAGAACAACTCGCCTGCACCCACCACATAGCGCCTGCCTTTTGTGCCGGCAAGTCGCTCGCAGAGTATACCCCCACGAAAAGGAAACCCTTTGTTGATGTGCAGCCTGCATCCCGATTCTCCAGCAGCAACAGGTCTTCCCATTGGGCTGCGACCCAAATCCTGCCGCATGGGCTGAGGCTGAGCTCCAACCCGTCCTCGGACGCTCCCTCTGCACACAGCCTCTCGACCTCGACGCTCACCGAGCCCAGAAGGTCGTCGCTGCCCACAAGGTCGGCGTCCCACACATCGATGTACAACTTCTGCATCTTTCTTGCCCATATCAGGAAGGACGCGCTGTAAGACCATGTCGGCGCGAGGGAACGTTTTACGGTGTGAGACCTGTGCTTCTCAGCGCCACAACGGACCACGACGTAGGGGTCCGACGAGCCCGTTAAATTCGCCGGCCCAGCGGGCCATTCAAGAGCGTGCCAAAATCGCTGGCACAACGCCCTCAACGGCCGAATATGTGCCACGCTACCGGGACTCACTTTTGGGAGCTTCGGACAGCAGCAAATAGATGCCCAGACATCTGCCAGTACCTGCTCCCCAATGACCCTCCTACAATCTACCAGGTCGGCGGATCTAGCGGCCTTCGCCCACATGCACGACTGTGTACACCGCTAGTCCGCGTGCGAGGCGGCCCCTGGGGCCCTGGGGTGAGAAACACCCAACGCAAGTCCAGATCAGAGATGCCGGAATCCGCAGGTGCGTCCTGCAGGGCCCAGGAAAGGACCCGGTCGTTGTCGTTGTCGTCGTCGTCGTCATCGTCGTCGTCGTCGTCGTCGTCATCGTCGACGACCAAATTCCGACCAGGCCTCCGAGAGACGCGCCCCCAACGGCCACTGAGGATTCCCGGACCGCCAGGGACCCTCCTACGTGCCTTCTGGAGGCTCCAAGGCCGCCGCAGGACGGCAATGGGTGGCCACGTGGCCTCCCAAGGATGCCCCCACCACACTCCCCAAGACCGAGTGCCCCAAACCATTTGATACGCTGTCTTCCACGCTCTTTGGCCCTCCTGCTTTTTCCCTTGCGATGTTCTTCTGGAACTTCAATCTGGCCTCAATTTTGGACGCCCGATCTGGGTACGGAAAGAATGGGTACAATGCCCAACAACACATGTTGTCCCAAACCATCAGCGGCCGCTGTTGGGAAGGCGGCCTTCTGTCTCACATGGACACAGGCCGCGGCGGCGCGGACAGCGAGTCCTGCTCAAAATGAACAGGAACTGCTGCTGGGCATTGTACCCATTCTCTCCGTACCCACTTCGTTCGTGCCAGCGGCGGGAAGCGGCAGGGCTGGGCCCCCCCTCCAGTGCAGGGGGAGGAGGAGGAGGAGGAGGAGGAGGAGGAGGAGGAGGAGGAGGAGGAGGAGGAGGAGGAGGAGGAGGAGGAGGGAGGAGGAGGAGGAGGAGGAGGAGGAGGAGGAGGAAGGAGGGAGGAGGAGGGAGAGGGGGAGGAGGAGGAGGAGGAGGAGGAGGAGGAGGAGGAGGAGGAGGAGGAGGAGGAGAGGAGGAGGAGGAGGAGGAGGAGGCGGAGGAGGAGGAGGAGGAGGAGGAGGAGGAGGAGGAGGAGGAGGAGGGAGGAGGAGGAGGAGGAGGAGGAGGAGGCGGAGGAGGAGGAGGAGGCCCGCGGCTCGCGGAGCGTGGCGGGGGCGCCATTTCGTTCGTGCCGGTCAATATCGCCAGAGAGGACTCCAAGTGGGGCCCGGATTGGCGCCACGAGGGACGCGCAGGCCCAAGGAGCGTCTCAGGAGCGCGTCCCAGCAGGGCTCCAGGAGCGCCCACGAGCGGCCCGAAGGCGGGGACTGCAAGGGGGGGAGGTCCCAGGACGGCCAGAAGACGGGCCCCAAAAGGGGGCCCCCCAAAAGAGCCCCCATGGAATCCTGAGAGCCCCCAAAAGAGCCCCCAAAGGGGCCCCCCAAAAAGCCCCCCAAAAAGATAAAGGAACTTACCGAGAACAGTCCCTGGGGACAGTTCTGAAATGATCGTAGTTCAAAACACTCCACCGGGGACTGTCTTGAAATATCGAGATTATTGAGCATCTTAGCGACGACAGCTGTAGAGAAGAGGGGAGGGAGGAGGAAACCGACGACGACTGGGCGCCACAGGACGCCACAGGAGGCGTTCCGCCGTGAGAAGCGGAAGAAGAGGAGGAATATTGCCGCACCTGCTAACTCATCCGACATCTTTTCACACAACCAAGCTCTGTGAAACATATCCTCGACCTCCACCCCGCAACGGGGGCACAGTGGTGAGATGATAGCTCTTCTCCCCCGACAGGCCTCGGCACGTCGCTGCATGGGCCAAGAAGCTCCCGTGGCAATTGCGACAAGCAGCTCAGCCAAACGATGCCCGTGACGCATAATGCGGAGATGCTGGTACAGGGCACGCATAGAGGTCATGTCCACGCCATTCTCCATCGCAGCACCACAATAATGTGTAGCAGCTTGCCTCCACAATCTGTTCGACGTCGAATGCTCCACATCGCGCACCAACTCGGTGGGTTCGTCCACCGACCAGAAACCAATCCAGGCGTCATCGTCCATCTGTCACGGGATGGTCTCCTCAGGGGGTCCACCAGGGAAGGGCCAAACTCGCGGCTGACTCTGGCTCCCATCCGCTCTCCAGCAGCAAGGTGAGAATAGCAGTCAAGGGACCTCGAATGCGCCGGGTTCTGTTCCGGAACCACTGCTTGCAGCTGCTGGGGCGCGAGGGGCCAAGCCTTGTGAATGCTGGTGCGCATGTGTGGCTCGGACTCCGATTGCCATGCGGGGAACAAGGTGCGCACGCGCCCACGCGGCATCTTAATGGCAGGGTCCTGCGGAACACGCAAAGCGAGAAGACTAGTTAGGCACCAGCCACGAGACGGAGCCGCCATGGCCGCGCCTAAGCGTCTCCTGTAAGTGGTGAGGTGGCATCCGAAAACACCGTTGGATCTGGCACCCATAGCTGGCAGCCGCCTGCGCGCCTAAACGTTCCAGCTTGGACGCGGTTCTGTAACGCCTGCCGCCGCCCGCGGACTTCCGAATCTGCCGATGCATGATGTCGTACTTCTGAAAACGCTTCCGTCGGGTGCCACGAGCATGTCGGCCTCCTCCTCCGAGGTCCACGCCGAGGTAGCCGCCCGACTTCTGCGCTCTGACGGCGTGCCCTGCTAGCCGTCGCGCTCGAGCAATGCGAACGGCATCAGGGTGATGCGAACAAATAATCACGCTCTTGTTGGCCACAGGCAATCGCATTGTCGCCAGCTGCTGGCAAGTGGCCTTGATGCTGGCCGTCAGCTGCAGACGGGCACTGGAACGAGAACCGACCGCGCGTTGTATCAGATCGTCGATCCTGATCCTGTGGCTCATCTCAGGGTGCGCGACTTTTATGCGATGGAGGATGTGATAAGTCATGATCCTGCCGAAACGCGTGCCCGATCTCAAGCCTTGCACCACCGACTGCGTCGGCTCAGTGGGTAGCGCCCAAGACTCGAACTGACCCAGCAGGCGATGGGGCCGCGCACTGAGCCACCTCCAGACGTAAAATACACGCTGGAAAACCAAGATTCAGCCCTGCTAGAATCAGGTATTCCCACCGTATGTTGTCGTAACAAACTCTCGGTGTCTAATAATCCTGCCCCAGCGGGCATCTGCAACTTATGTCCCACTTCTTCTTGCAACGTGCGAGCGAAGGCCTCGCGGAGGGCCGCGTTGCCTCGTGCAGCTGCATCCCAGAAGGGGGCGTTCTGATCTGACCGCTCTTGGGCAATCGGCTCGCGCAGCAAATACCAGAGACGACTGAACATTGATAGAGGGCCGGTGATGCGGTCGCCTGCTGATGTTTTAGGCAGCAGGCGACCCAGTACATCCATGGCCTGACGAGGCGAAGTGACTTCGGCCTCAGCGACATTGCAAAGACTAGCCGGCTCGGCGAGCGCCGAAGCTGGGAGGCGCTCGAAGTCCACAGGGCTCGTCCTGTCGATGTCGAGCCCAGTGCCAGCCTTCATCTTGCGCGCGGCCTTCCTGATGTCGGCTGCAGTGGTCTCAGGAAGGGGCTCAAGATCGGCGCGCTCGCGCGCCTGCCAGAAAGCCGACTGAACCTGCTTCGCTGCCTCTTGAGGTGGAGACTACAACTCCCTCCACTTGGCTGCCTTCACATCCGCAATGTCCAGAGGGTGGAGCAACCTATCACCTGATGGGGCTTCCAGCTCAGCCCTCGCCAGAGGTTCCTGCCGAATATATGTGCAGGGCCCCCCAAGCAATCGGTGTCTCCATCCAGCCGCCGAACTCTCGCATCGATATTTTTACAGCTCTGGCCTGGTATCTGCTGGCGACTCGCTGAGACGCTTGCGAAAAGACAGTGAGCCAAATCTCCAGGTCCGCAAGCGGCCTGCGAACAAACTTCGACTGGGGCGGGGGGGGGGCGGAAGTTGATGAGGCGCTGGCCTTCGCGACTGAGGGCGCGTCCTCGACAGCGCGTGCGCGCGCAGGGAGTTCACCCAGATGACCCGCCAGGGCTCGCAATGGGTGGGGCCGCTGCCCGTGCTGCGCAAGTCTCTCCACATGCAACGGGGGCCCAGCTAGGGCAGTCGCCATTCGGTGCCGCCGACGTGAAATGGCACCTCTCTCGGGCGTCGTCCGTTGTCTCTCCTGCAGCCGAACTGGGCCCTCGTAGAACTCGGCCGCCTGGGCTCTGGAAGGTCCTGTCACTGCTGCAATTGAGTGGTGCGCATGGAATGTGGTCCCGACTGCTGAGGCCCATGACGCATATGGCGAAGATATGGCAGACAGGTTGGGTGTGCTATTGAGCGAAACGGCTACTGACCGACAGAAGGGCGCTGTCGCAGGACACATGCTCGCTGGCACGAAACCCACCTCGGCGCGGCATTCCTTCCACACATCATCGGGAATGGCGAACGCCGCGGCCCGCTCGGGGGGGGGGGGGGCGGAGCAGAGGAAGCGGAGGCGAGGACGGAGGTGGGGGGGAAGGAGTGGGGGCGGGTTCACCGCTGCCTTGAAAATTCGGTCGGGGGTGCGTTACATCGGATGCGGGAAGCTGAGGCGAGACGCTCGTTACCATGGCTGGAGACTCGAAACAGCGCCCGAAGGGTCAGGGCGCGCCTCCACCTGCACAGGCATGTGTGCGAAACAAATTTCATTGGCCCGCGGGTCCTCTTCGGAATCGTAGCCCTGCAGGCACGCCCGAGAGCCCCCTGGGCCCCGGGGCGCTAAATCATCCAGGGGCTCTTCGGGGGCGCCGAGCAAAACTGATTCGGGCTCGGGC